TCTTAACTCAGGGACTGCCTGTACACGTACTGTACAGTATTTTTGCCCACAAAAAAATTACAATTTAGCTGGTACTTTGAATGAGTGAGGTTCTAGTGTAATTTTTCTGACTACAGATATTTGATGACATTAATGGATAAATTTAAATGGCTGTATTTGAAATTTGTATATAAAAGTAAAATTAGTGTTTGCACCAGTAGTAAAAAAAAAAATAAAAAATCCAAACAGCCTACACCATCAACAAAGTGGTTCCTGTCCCCGATGCCCCTCAATGGTCTGGGAGATCAAATTATATATTATATGAGGTATAATTTAATGTAAACAACTGTGTGACTCTTTATCCAAATATCCCCTCTGTGTATTACAATATTGTATATGGGGCGCTCCGCATTAGAAGGGGGTGAAGCACCAATTCAAGAAGCCGAGAATTGTTTTTTTCGAAGCTCAAACAACCATAACTTTTTTGTTTTTTTAAGCTAGAGGGTTCATTTTTTTATCGTGCAGCTCAATCCCTCTCCTAGTGAACAGTGAAAACTGTTAAGTTATTATTTATTCACGAGTTGAATGAGAATAACTACCCGTGATGTATAATTGTTTGATCTTCAAACCTACAATAATTGCGTTTTTCTGCAAATTTTATATTATTATTGTAAGCTAATACTGTAAAGCAAGTTAATGATCACCAAAAACAGCACTCGTCTTACACCCACCTCCTCCCCCCATAAAATGAATTAATAAAACTCATTTGCCTATCAGTATTTATCTTTCCGTCCCTATTATTAGCCAAAGATTTATAATATTAAGTATAATAGTGTGTAATAATAAGGAAACACCACTACACTCACCCCTCCCCCCCAACATAATTAACATACGAATACAAAGTCGGAGAAAGTTTGCATAATCTTTGGTAAAAAGTATTATGATAATAGTATTACAATCTTACTTTGTTTAGTTTCTTCGTTTTATTATCCCTGAAGATCATATTAAGTTAAAGTTACATAAATCCTGAGGAGTGCGTATAACTTTAATGACCTCGTCATAATCAAATTACATTTACGCTTGGCAACTCCTGTGCCCACTCATCAACCCTACGCTGTCTTGTCCTGCCTTTTTTTTTCTATGGGGCCTTGGGGGTATGCTCCTGACCCCTGCAATCTGCATCATGTGGTGCTCCACCAACACTAGGCTCCCCAACATTCTCATGCACGTCACCTGCACCATCGCCAGTAGCACTTGTATCACCACAATCAACACTAAATTCAGCAGCAAAATCACTATCACCAAGCATTACTGGGGTGTCCACGTGAGCACTGGCACCACTAAACACGCTCAGGAATAATGGGCTCCTGAACCCACACCAGAAAGCTTGGCCTCACTCGAGTCTTGCTCTAATATCGGGCAGATATTGCATAGCACTTCTCACACCCGTGGAACACAAATAATGTCAATGTTACGCCGAAAAGTTATCAAACATAGCAGAACGTACACTAAACCTCCTTATGCTATAATACGCGCCAAAACTAAGGAGGCAGCATCTGGGAGCGCGGATTGGCCGAGGAGCTGTGACATAGCAATGGGAAATTCATTGTGATTCGCTGCCTCAGGGGGTATGGTTCGAGGGAGGCACGCGCCGTCATTGCCTCACGCTTCTCTCACTCTGAACGGGATGTTGTCACTTTCTTCGACTGAGCGGCAGGGGTTAGGGGCAAAAAAAGTTTATGAATCACTGCATTAGGATAAAAATTAAGGATTATTGTAAAGTCTGAAACTACAGAATTTTCTCTACATGAATTTGAGAAAAAAAAAACCTACTGTACTGTATATCGGTTTTGATAATGTATTTGTAAATTTCATATCTAATATAAATATAGTTTAAGGTACAGTACATGTATCTAGAGGAGGTTTATCAATACTGTAACAATTAAAACTTGAGGTACCACACTGTAATCAGAATTAGCACTCCCTTACAGTATCTTCCAAACACTATACAATATCATACTTCCAATTCATGAAGCCTTGCAAGTATCATCATCCGTTTGTCCCTGCTACTTTCCCTGTGTTAATCTATGTCACCTACCTTCCTTTCACTTTGCATGAGCTGTATCAAAGCAAAGTGTTATCACAAAATAAAAGAAAATAGTTAGTGGTTGAAGAGAAACTAGAAAATGATACGAGTGTATTAGTGTTATAAAACACCTATAACTTTCAAACTGTTAGGTTAAATTACAGTACGTATATGGTTGGCATTATCCAAAATCTGACTAATTTTCACCCAACCCCCCCCCCCCTTTTTTATACAGTACAGGGCTGTCTCACTTATCGCAAAGGTTACGGGCATGAAACTCGTTGCGAATAGCGGAGCAATTTCGCCCACAAGAAATAAATGTAAATAGGGGGGATAATAAAATAAATCAAGAAACAAGGGCATATCAAATAAACATCAATAACAAACATGGAATTTATTAGACGTGTATGTTTACAAGTACAGTATACTTTACATGTCTGAGTGTGTTTGAATGTTTATGTGCATAGGTATGCGAGGCAAGTTTTAAACGTAGACTGTTAATTTACCTCTCATGTGCTGTGTTGCTTGCTTGCTGAAGTTAGCATTAGGGGAGAGCCTCCTCTCACTGGAGTTTTCATGTCTTTTTACGATATCCAATTTCAAGTCCAACGTAAATGCCACAAGTGATCTCTTAGCAACATTGCTGGGAGTTTTAGTAACTGGTCGCTTAGGCTTTGCGAGATCACACAAAACATGAGACCGAGGCGAGCGGGAGCGTATGGCGGAGGAATGTGTATACATGTGCACATGCTGTCCTACGCTACGGTTGAGGCGCCCGGTTCAAATTTTTTTCTTCCAAGAATTTGCGAATAAACGTGGTAACAATAAATTTATTGCAGATAAACGGGGTTACGAATACCGGGGTTTGCCTGCATACTGTGCAATAAATACATTCCCCTATGCATTTAATATTTTATTATAAAAGAATAACAATAGTACGCAGAGAACAATTTTTTTTTACTTACCTCACCCTTCATCTAACACTTGGAGGCACAAAAAAGAATCCAAATTAATATTGAAGTTATACAGCACTCCACCTTCAACATTTTTGTGGCCGTTTTCCACAATTAATACTGTATTGTTTTACTTACAGCAGCTCATCATGCAAAACCAATGAATCTTTTCTTTGACTAAATTCTGATGATTTAATTAAATTCATTCTACTCTATCCTTTTAAATCAACATTATAACAGTCAAGTACAAGCTTTACTGTAGCTCTCACATCAATGTCCCTCTCCTACACACTTCTTCACTGTACAGCCAACTCAAATTATTCTCCTACATGAGAAAAACAAAACTGCTTGTTACATATTATCTTGACAGTATTTGTGATTTCATCATACATGTCAGTCACATTAAGTTCCGGTTTCAAATAAATGCGATATCCCTGGAAAAATTATTTAAATCAAGGATATTCACCAACCTTCCTTAATAATACAGTACCACTACAGTATAGGCATTGATGTATTGCACACATAGTAGCCGCCAAAGATAAATACCCATTTATATTCACTTTGATACTTAAATTGCATATCAAGGGAACAATGTCATTGTAACTCAGATGCAGAAAACTATATAAATAAATTTCACCCTTTAAAATATAATCATTTGTTAAAGGGGATCATCTAAAGAATCATTGCCCCCAGCTTATTTCACCTAAAGATTAGACCACCCTAAAACTATTTTGGGAGGATGAGGTTAGGTTAGGATAGAATAGGTTTAAGTTTGGTTAACTTAGCATTAAGGTAGTTAATCTTCAGGTGAAATAAGCTGGGGGCGATGATTCTTTAGATGATCCGTTAACGGTTATCTTGTATAATGGAAAAATTCCATTTTAAGACACATTCGCATTTCTGTACAGTACTGCATTCCCCTCCAAGGATGCAGAGTTCCTTCACTGTATTTTATAATGAACAATCAAAATTCCTATGCAAGCTTGACTTGCCTATTACACCAGCAATTCTACCCAGGTAGGTCATTTACCTACCTGAGAACGGTATTTTCAGACTTAAGATAGGAATACTATGCAGTACTGCATCTCCGTGGTTGAAATTTTTCTTAAATTTTTTGGGGGGAATGTGGTAATACTACTTGTGCTGTACAATACTGGTAAACACAGGTTGTCACTCACTGCCTCCTTAACTGGGATTTTAAAATCTGCATCCAATGGTCTTTCAGCCCAGTTTGACAAAAACACTTCTCTATCCCTCCAACCTGACCAAATATTCTCAAAATGAATCAGTCTAATAGTCATTTTCACCAACTCCTTAAAAACCCTTACAGTAACTTTATCTACCATCTCATCTTTACATATCTACTACCTGTACCATCTGGTAATACTGCACCCTTTCAGTAATCTAGACAACTGCTACAGTACTTGTCCAAATGTTCATCACTTGAATTTTATGAACTGTACAGCATCTCATAATTCCCTTCTAAATATCAAGTTTTCACCAAATCTTTGTAAATAATTTGATTTAGTTGCAAAACTAGCACTTCACTTCTAATGCGATCACAATCTTCCTGAATTTAGCGCTGAAACATACTTAGCTCCCATTACACTCAAGTTTTAGTCAATGGGACTATAAATATGGTTGACGAAGTTGAAAATGCTGATTATCAGTTTTATGAAATACAAATACAACCCAATTTCCATGTGTTAACCTTTAAGTTATTAAAACATTGATTTGCATAGACAGGTACCAAATCTCCTACATTTTATGGCACTGGAATAAAAAGTATTCCACACACCTCTAAGTGCACTAAATTTTCTTCCAACATGTACAGTATTTATAGTTATATTAATTAAAGGTTTCGATTCAAAATATAAATATTCTACATTTTGGAGTGCACTTTTACATAACTACTGTATGCTTAAAAAAAAGAAAGAAAAAGGGTAAAAATAAATGGACCAAGGATTAAAAAAAATACAACCTTTAAAAAATGAATATACATTATATTGTAGAGAATGCACTTATTACAATATGTATAGTGATACTTACTCTACATTTTATCAAAACATTGAAAATTGTACTTTATCAAGTAATACACGACACCTTTTTAGATCCTAGGAAATGAGGAATGGATTTCCCTTTCACTTCCTTGGGTTCTGATCAAAACTGAACACAATAAAAAGCTCTGATAAAAACAAATCATATTGAATAATATTTAAAAGTATTAAGAGCAATATTTGAAAAATATGGAAAACCTTTTAGTTGCAAAACTCTGAACAACCATTTCTGGCTAAACTATTGAGCAATGCAACAACCCCCACTTGATCCCTTGCAACCAAGCTTCACATCCTTCAGGCAGTGTCCAAAAAAAAAGTTCTTTCTTAAGAGGTAGAGCAACTCTCAAAGTCTTTTGGGGATGGGTAATGGGGGAGAGGGTCAGGAGGTAGGCCACTTGGATTGCAGACAATCTTAACCCATTCATTAGTGACTTGCGTAACAATTAGCCAGTCTGCCTGGAGTCAAGTTTTCTTGACTTGGACAATATGTCCTTATTAAATGGTGTAATGTTATTATAAAAACTACAAAAACTAAGAAAGAGCAAGCAAATTCTTTCACTATAGTATTGATAATCTCATTATCATTTCCTTAATTTACTTAGCAGATGAATGCAGAATATACTGATTTGCAAGTACAGTACAAAGAAGCAACATGACAAAATATATTGTACAGTACATTAAATAAAATTTGCAGTAATAACAAATTACTGTAATACATTATTGAACACCAAGTTCAAAGTTTAGAATTTTCATTCCTTGGTTCCCATAAACACCTATCCCATTTCCTGTCAGACAGAAGATGAAGATTTTAGGGATATTTAACATTGGGGAAGCCAATGATTGTTAATGATCGCACACGCACACAAGGCCATATCCATGACCGTCTCACTGCTGACACATTCACGGGCCACCACTAACAAATGGGTTAATGGCCTTCCCCCTTAATCAGGGACCTTCTTGGCCACAGACGCACAAACAAGCATTGTCAAACACAGTACAGTAATTGCACATCCATGGTAGTAAAGTCCCTGGGCCAAAGCAAATGTGGGCACATTTAATAACTAGCTTATTTATACAGGTTTCTGCGAGCCCTTCTTTCCAATGAGAGACTTATGGATGTGAGGAATGACGCCCCCACCGGCAATGGTCGCCTTGATGAGTGAATCCAATTCTTCATCACCACGAATAGCCAGCTGCAGATGGCGGGGCGTGATACGCTTGACCTTCAGATCTTTGGATGCATTACCAGCCAACTCCAAAACCTGCAAATAACAAGGATATTAGAGATGTGACTCACCACACACACACACATGTTCAGCCAAACACCCATGAAAACTACTTATAAAGCAACCACCTTATAAAAACAAAACTATGCAACAGCTGTATGGAACCAAAAGTGAAACTAGAGAATTCCACATCAAAAACAAACTCAAGAAAAATTATACCTGTACCTGTTTGGTAAAATTAAAAAATAATAACCTTTGTTTGGGAGAATTCAACAATTTGCACAGAAAATCATTCAATACGCCTATGACCTTTGGTACTTTTTTTGGCCCCAAAATCTGCATGGGAATTAAAATTTCTTTCTAGCCATTGATTAATATAACTTATGATAGACCACACACTGTTGTAATCAATGTTACCAAAAAATCAACCACAATAATTCAGATCTATTAGATACATTATACAATAGGAACAAATATTCTTCACACTGACAGTTTGTAAAATATTTATATTTTTAATACAGTACTGTAACCCAAAATTTGAAAAGTAATGCCTCCCCCCAAATGATACCATGGTACATTATCCTAGTATTTCCTGATAACAAAATCTTTCCTTAAATGTGTTACCATGAAATTCAGGTTAAAAAGGACATAAGCAGATCCAGTATACTGTACTGTACTGTTCCAGGTATATAAATAATGCAGGATAATAAAATCTTGTTGAGTTACCCAACTAAACTTCAAAACTCAGATCTGACCACCACAATTACTTCTGAAGAAATTAACTTAACTGGCAACTAAAAGTACACGACCAAACCCTGCGACCCCCAACCTACCAAGCCAGCCACAACAAAAGATTGCACACACTGAAGTAACCCGATTTGGCAAACTTGTGAGACTTATTGTGGACAGACTAACTTGCTAATATCCCCAGCCTCTATCACAGGGAAACAAAATACATGACCTGTTACGTATCCCTGTAAAACAAAGGCCAACTTTTGCTTTCACTGTAAAGTTAATACTGTATTGACAACTGCTTCTCATTGAAGGCAGGCACACATTGTCAGAAAACAAAGCTTCTTACCAACTTTTCAGATTTGACCACTGACATTTATTGGCATAAAAATGATATGGTTAAAGAATACAATTTTTTTACATGTAATGACCTATACATATGGAATAGCTTTACCATTCACTCTTAAAAACCCATTTTTGCATCCACAATTCTAAGAACAGAGCTGTGGGTAAATCTAGTTTTAGGGCAGAAATTTAACTTAAACCATAATATACACTGTACTGTAAGCAAACAATCAACAATCAACTTCAAGATCTGATTTACAATTTCCATTAAATTTAATAACAGTAAACAGGCCTCTGGGTGCTTTGAATGAAAAACCAGTCAAATTTTAGCAGGTCCTATTTCTTTTTTAAACTTTGGTCCAATCCGGCTAAAACTAATTAAAAATTTTATTCACCAGAATGGATGGTATTAGTGACATTATGCCACTTGAGTAAATTTCGAGTACCTGTATAGTAATGTACAGCAAATAGAATGTTAGGTATTCCCACTGTGACTGATTTTGTATAGATCCTACCCCATAACTGCCACCAAATCACTGTGGTAACAAATTTACCAGTACACATCTTTACATAAGTGATCGCATACTGCCCTAAGGGGTTCGGGTCATCTCGTACCCAAGATAAATTGTACTGCAGAATACAAAGTAACCACAATTAGACAACAAAAGCAGCATGTTGATGACAAAGTCTATATTATGCGGGCTGCAGGCTAGAATGGTTGCATATAAAAATTTACACAATCGGTTCAGAGTAGTGATAGAATGCTGCCAAATGGATGATGGCATTAGAAATGATCCTCACAAATTTGCAGAAATGTATCCCATGATTAACAACCGTTACTAAGAGCTGGGGATATTATTGTGTTGTAAATTCTCGGCTTTGTTTTTCTTAAGGATCTTCGTTTAGTATGACCAGAAGACTAGTGGCATCTATTACTGGCTCCAATCCTGGCTATAATTTACATTGGTTTTGCCTTTGGTTTCTTTCCATGATCATTATTTTGGTCTTACCTACATTTATCTAAAGTGCTGTTGAATTTGCCTTTTCCTTAAAGGTTGTTGCCAACGTATCTACTTCTTGGGTGTTGTTGCTTACTATATCCAGTTCATCAGTGTATAAGAACATTCTAATTTTGATCTTATGGAATTAATTTCCTTCTTGCATATTGTGGATTTCTCTTTATACTATATATATAAAGAGAAATCCACAACATGCAATACACTATATACATGGGTACAAACTGTCTCGTAAATTGGGTACAGCTTGACATGTTCTGACGAGTACGAGTTGTCCAGCATCGCTGCATGCATTTGTACTCAAAAAATTTAAGCATGTTTCACAATTACTACAGTACAAAAAAATTACAGATGTATACATGATCCAATTTTCATCATTTCAAGTTATTATATTTAAAGATTTACAGACGTAGAAGGTATATGCACTTCACACGTCACTGATATATCATTTTTTATGTATCAGTACAGTAAAACATATGCCAACATCCAAGTACCGTACCATTACTTTACACTCTAGGACTAAGTTATGAACAGCCACACAACCTACAGTACAGGGGGTCCCCGGGTTACGAACAAGTTCCGTTCCTAAGTCAGATTTGTACGTAAATCGGAACACATGTGCATACTGTACTTACAGAACAATCTTTAAAATCCCACAATATCATAGCCTAAGTCCTTATATACAGTAAATCTAAAATCACACAATTTAAGACAAAAGAATAAAATGACAAAATAGAGTAAATGGAAGTAAAAAATAAGTCATCACGTAAATAAAATACTGTACTGTAAATTTTAACCCCGTTCATAAGTCGGGGACCCCCTGCACACTGTGACCTGTGCATGTGATTTTCAAATTATTTAATTTGATCTTATTTTTTTAACTTATTTTATTTATATCATCTTGCTTTAACTCATGATTTTCCCCATTGGCGGAGGTCACTACTGTAGGATCAGAGCAGCTGTCCAAAACTTTAGTCCTTGACTACCTCGTGTACATGAAGACTGATGAATTTAACAGTATCAGCAATATCTGCTAAATAGCACTGAATTATGGATAGAAATTTAATTTCCAAGTTAGATCAACCAGATTTTGTGTCAATATCTGTGCAGTATATTTGGTTTTAAACTTACAAGAATGATACCAACATTCAAACAATATATACCTTACAATGAGGTTAACATGCCAGAATATTAACCTAAAGCAAAACCTCCAAACCATTACACTAAAAATCCCGACTTCTAATTCTGGAGAAATAATCTGGCTAAATTGATGACTGACCCATCGACGCAATATTTAATTTTGTTTATTTTCTTACTATATTCTTCATCTGAGAGTTCTGGTGTGACACTTATGCAAATGCTTTGCTTGATAGATAATTAGGTGCACACTACTTTGTCTTCTGTGGTAATGTGGCAATGATGTCTCATCCAAGGATGTACAGCCAATTATACTGACATAGTATTTCAAAACACCCTAGTGCTGCACACTGATTGAGGCCTAAGCTCAGTATACTTCATGCGCTGCAAGGTGCACGCGGCTGCTTTCACGTCCACAAAAAAATTAAAATTACACCATACCATAGCAAGTTCTTTCTGTTTAATATGCTGGCAGTGGGGCCCCATGGTTACTAAGTTAAGCAAGGTTTCTTTGGTTAGGTTGGGGAGGTCTTCTAACGTGGCTTCTGCTGCTCGTTTTTCTTTTCAACTAAGGTTAGGTTAGGTTAAAATTATAAGTAACCACTTTTTAACACATTTACACAAACTACGAGTGTCCACCATAAAACAGTGAAATTGCAGCTTTTTTCCAGTTTTCTATGAATAATTGCCGGCAGGTCAGGCATCAACAATTACCAAAATTCCATTTGCAGCTGGAAGCTGGCATTGTAATGGGGTAATTATTTATGACTAACCCGCAGCCGAAATTGATCGAAAGCGATTATAAAAACACCAGATTTTCACTGTTATTTTATAGTGGACACTGTTGCAGTTTGTGCAAATGTGTTAAATAATTTACATTTTTAAAATAAACGTTACTTAACATTTGTGGGCATGAAGAACAGACCTAACCAAACAAACCTACCTAACCTTGCCCAACTTTCTCACCGGGGGCTCTGCACCCTGGAGTCCCTGGTATATTAAGCAGAAAGAACTTACGTACTATGATATGGTGAAATTTGAGACATTTTCTGGACGGGTGATGATGCAGGCGCACCAATGCTTATGAAGCCCGGGCGGCAATGTTATTTATTGTGATGGCAGGAAACGTTGAGCCACGGCGTTGAGGAAGTGATGAATAAATTTTTTCCCAGTCTGAAAGCACAGGAATTCCGACAGTGGACAGTCTTCATTTAAAGGAACAATGCCGTGGTTTTTGAATAATTGAAGGGTCTTGCTGTCTCTCCCTAAATTCGCAAATTACGTCCATATAAGACTGGCGACAACCTTCACATGTCACGCTGAAAATGAAACTGCCTTTAGTACAGCACCAGAGTGCAGCCTCATTACCGCCAGGAAGACAAAATAGTGCTCACCTGGACGCCTAATTGTCTATGAAACAAAAAATTTGCACAAGAAATGGTCATCATATCAGAACTCGCTTATAAAAATAAAGAAAATAAACAGTAATAAAAATAACTCAGCCGCAGGTTAGTCGTAAATATTAACCCTGTAATGGATTCTAATAGGAAAGAAACTTCGGTATACATTTCCTTGTAATAAACCAACTACTCTTTTCAGTTTAACACCTTCAATGGCAAGACTGTAATACAATTTTGTCTAATCTGAGTCGATTGGTCACTTCTTTACCATGAAGGTACTACATTGTAAATAAATTCTCCTTTAGGTTGGGGCAATTAAAAAACACCAGAAAAATATCTCGATACAAATTAGGGAAATTGGGATAAAAACGAATTTTTAGAGGTTAACACAAGATAATAGTCATGTTCATTAGTGTCATAATATAACCAAGGACTAATCAATGTAGGGTAATTATATAGGACTAACCCACCGGCGAATTTGATTGAAAACAATCATAAAAATGCCAGATTTTCATTATTATATTGTAGTTTGTGAAATATGTGTAAAAAGTGGATATTTTTTAAATAAACGCTGCTTAACATTTGTGATTATGAAGAACAGACCTAACCAGCCAAACTTACCTAACTTCCCCAGTACATTAATCAGAAAGAACTTACTTTTATATGGTGAAATTTGAGGCATTTCTGGACAGACGATATGGCTGCATCGGCGTTATGCAGCCCCGGCGGGTTAGTCCTACATATTAACCCAATGTAGTCTAGCATATATAGGATAAATTGCCAAAATATTTTCTTTGATTCCTCATGCATAGTAGCAACAATTCATGATACAATGAATTGGGGTTTTTGAGGTATTATTATAGTTTGGTCATGCAGCAAAATTTTGAATTTTTAGTTTAGGTAGGTTGAAATTATGGTTTTCCAAGGGTCTTATACGTGCATTGAAGGAATTCCAAATAGGTGCATGACCGAAACGATAATTTTACCGTTTTTGAGCGGTTAATAATATACAATACTGTATATGAGGGGATTTCCTGCCTCTTGCCCTTAAGATTGCCTATTTTAAAAACAAATCTAGCATCTACCGACATTTGCTTAAGATCATCAAAGCAGCCACCCCGTTTGAATAATACATATGCCTACAAAGCAAAAGGATTATGAAACTATAGGATTCGTATGGGAAGGTGAATGCCAAACCATTTTGGCAGCAAATATTTGGAACTTGGCAAAAAATAACAAGGTCGCCCGTTACTCTAAGGTTTACATGTGGTTGCATGTACTTTTTCTTTGGCCAGAATAGGTTAAGTTTTGACGATACACAACAGTTCGAATTCAAACCACACATTACTGCATACAGTATAACCCAACTATTTAATACTTGTTTACCATATAGTTCCCCGCCCAAACGTGGAGAAATATGGCACTTTAAACAATTTAATGTTTCCGCACGTTACTGGAGGGAGACAATTATCTGATCCCATGTATTTCTGGCGGGAAGCATTTTATATTTTCCCGCGCATTTATGGAGGCAGAGACGGCAACGTCGCGCCACACCACTCAGGGACAATGGACTCGTCCTCCACATCAACGACCGCGCCGTTTAAAATAACTACAATCAACGCTACCATACTCCTACAGGAGGAAAAATCACATGTCAATTATTCTTGAAGTGAAGTAGTAATTAGAACAAGAGTTTTATAATACAATTATTTAAATTTTAAGATGCCGGTACCATGGGCGCCCTTCAGGAGTACCAACACTACTAGAGCTAGGGTTACTGTACCTCAGCAGTCAGGTACTCGAGGATGGCAGCGCTATAGACTGCGGCAGTAGCACCGACGCGGCCATGGCTCGTCGTCCTGTTCTTGAGATGCCTGTGGATACGGCCCACAGGGAACTGAAACGAAGGGTCAGGGTTAAACACCATGTTGGTAAACATGTTCCATGCCGCCATGTTAAACGTCACTCGCCTGATTTATCTTAGATCAAGCCAATTTCTCCACAACATATATAATATAAATATAAATTTTAAGTTAATTTGGACGAGACGGCTGGCAAAAATCGATAACTAACCTGAAGACCCGCCCGGGCAGAGCGTGACACTGCCTTGGCTTTCGCTTTGCCGGAGTCCTTGCCTGCCTTACCACCAGCCTGAAACAAACCAACATTTTACCAGTTAAAACCTCGAGTTGAGCCTTCAAACTTTGCCAGTGTACGCACCACACTTCCTTCTACAGCACAGTGAAGGTTTTATCCCAATAACACTTGTATCTCTCATAAAAACTCGCAAGGACTCACCATGATGCCTGTACTCACTACCACTGCACTATCACAACTGTTACCGATGGCGCGCGCAGAGCGTCTTTTTTTACTGGCCCGGCGCTATGACGTCAGGTTTAAATGCGCCAATCAGCGGAGCGAGTTTGATGAGTTTGACCAATCAGATACACTCCCGGGGAAACTTTGAATAACCCGCTGCTGGGTATCCGTACAACACTCCCAAGTTTCCCCGCCAAATGGGCTTAATATTCCCGCCAAATTTACTAAATAGTAATTCTTACTTTACTTATTCATCCAGTAATGTTGAAGTATGAGCCAAAAGGTGATTTAAGGTGATCTAAGTTTCACACAATAAAAATACACGGGATTTCAGTTACGTTACCGTCTAATAATCGTGTATTTCACATGTCAACTTATTTACCATATTTGATTTGTCAGTATTATAGGGTTCAATAAACTTTTTAGCCTTGTATGATTAACATCCAGTCATAGACTGCGCAGTCAAATGACAATAATATGGAATACATGGTATAAAAAAATACAGGTTTCTATCCAAATGGCAATGCATGTGTAACCCAAGATGGATAGCATTATAGTTAACAACCCTTACAAACATTATCTACACGTTATGGGTCATGAGTAGAGATATAAAGATATTTATTCGGTAAAATCATACAAGTTCACATTGATTCGGCATGTACATAGGCAGTGCCTAATGCACATGCAATGAACAAAAACTCGATATAAATCGCTGAGAACCCAAGAAAGCTGGGGTTTTACTTATTTTTATGTATGGCTTCACATAATAGAGAATGAACATGAAAAACAAAGTTCACAAAGAAAACAATAAACTGACACGTGAGTAATTATGATATATAATGGCGCATGCCATTTGTCCATTCACAGCAGTAACCTGGAGATGGCACTTCTATAAGTGAAGAATTAATACAAATGAATATGACATACCCTTGACCTAATATAAAACAGCAATAAAGAATAAATATAGGAAAATTATTTATGAAGATAATGTTAACAGGCATCACAAAGTCTGTATACTTGTACTAACAAGTTGGTAGAACACGTATACCTGGTACTTATGAAGAATATAAAAAACAGGCAATTTCAGTAATACAAAAACTTCTTCAAACCTGTATGTATGTAAAGATGTTTACAGTGTATGTGCATATACTGTATGTGTGTAAAAAAGACGTTTACAGCATGGGTGTATATGTGTGTAAAGAAGACGTTTGCAGTGTGCATATATGCGTGTAAAGAAGCCGCTTACGGTGTGTGTATGCTCCCTGTAAGAAGAATGAAAGTAGATGAACACCAAACTCGGCTAAATTCACTTCAATAGCAGCTGTATCGCAGTAACGTAACGCTGATTACCAAACACAACATGAGGTTTGTCGCATGGAAGTAAAGATTGGTAAAGACTGGCAGCACAGGAGAAAATACCCTGTATCAAGATTAGATAAGCCGAAAGGAACAATAGTTAGGAAAGCAGACTGTTGCTGATTTGAAGGAGAGAAATGCGCTCTTAAGAAACTGTTTATCATGGAGCAGACGAAGGAGGAAAGTAACACGGGAGACGTCGTTCACCATTAATAGAAAGTAAACGAGGAAGAGGAGAAAGGGGGAAAAAGTAATCCAAGAATCATATAATTTACCCCACAAGAGAGTCAGCCACGGCTTAGTGAAATATAATTTATTGATGGTAAGCCAGAATTGGACATCGGCAGTGTTGTGGAACACTTGGGGGAGACACCCCTCGTTTACAGAAGACATGATCTGCTTTCAGAAAAGGCAGGAATTTAGGCTTATTAGAGGAGGCTTAAACAATAAAAAAAAATACATCTTAAATAAGACAGTGAAATTACCCACAACTTGTGGACTTGTTAAATGTACCACGGTCACCGGGTCTGAACGTAAGAAAATAGTCTAAAAAATTATATACACACTAAAAAGAGCAAATTGGTTGTATTTTTATATGTAAAAAATATACAATACACGTGAATTAAAGTAAGGCTATAGAGAATTGTTTTGGACGACTGAGTATGATCAAGGAGTGTGAGACTACAGAAGGATAGTTTAATCAATGTTAAATTGTTTAGCCTCCCGCGACGGTGGCGTAACGAAGCGGCCGGAAAGTAAAATACACATAAAGCCCATTGTGCCTTACACGATATCGTGCGATAAATTCGATAACACCAGATTATTCAAGAAAACAATTTATATAATTATAGTCAGTAGGTTACTGACATCCAACTTTAAATATCTAGGGATAATTTATCAAATCAACATAATGATTATTTTGCAGCAAAAGATAATTATATTCCTAAGGGAATATACTCTCTTCAGATCTTCAGTAAGAGCGATGGTGATGGCTACAGCTTTACACCATTTAATATGAACCAAATGGGAGTAGACGACGTGGGCATAAACAGTTAGACTGTCTAAACACTGTAACATAATTCTCTTGAGGGCTGCTCATAGGCAACATGATCTGTAGAAATGAAAGATACGATTAAGTAAATGTAAAATGAATAAAGTTGTTAAACTATCGTATCAAAAAAGAATAAGTAAATTTGAACTTTAATTAGATAAATTTATATAAAGGAAGCAAATGCAGTAGATAAACACTGGTTCGGAAACAGATGTATGTACATGGGTGGAATAAGTTACCAAATAAAATAGCACCATTAAAACATTCATGCAGTGTCTATTATTGTGCTATTGGAGAGATGACGCAGAGGAAAGTGGAGGAACGCGGAGATAAATAGCAGGCGGAGGAAGAAAGGAAGGAGAAGGGGGATGAGTAATAAGAAAAACGAAGGAATAATAATATTTAAGTACAAATACATAGCACAACGAAAAGGTTTCCCTGTCGTTCACCATGAGTTGCGGATCGGATCAATGACAACCAATAGACTTGTCCCAGAGGCCGTGCGCACAGTGGACTGGAAAGTTACTGCCAGCTACATTTAAGAGACGTGACCGACTGCCCAAGCGGCTAACGAGCCGATCAGTGGCGTAGAGAGGATGCAATGTTAAGTAAAGTTTTGACTAGATCACCTCGTAGTGTCGCACTAAGGTCACATCGGTGCCAGGGAGACGCGGGAGTGCTTAGCCGAGCACGAGAGTCAACATGACTACGAGAATGATGCATTTCTTATTTATCTATCGAGCAATCTACAGATTCTAGTTATCTATATCTTTTGATCAAAGTCTCTACCTACCAATCAATCGATTTATCTATCTTCTGTATTTATTTGCCTATCTTTAAGAAAAGCAAGGCGACCAAACACTGGTATCAACAAATACAAGGTACAAAGTAAGCAGTCTCGTTTATGTAGTAACCTAGAATTAGCGCTTAAAGCCAAAGTTGATGAAGCACAGTATGTAATATATCATAAATTGGAATCAGCGCTTAAAGCCAAAGTTGATGAAACACAGTATGTAATACATTATAACCTAGAATCAGCGCTTAAAGCCAAAGTTGATGAAGCACAGTATGTAATACATTATAACCTAGAATCAGCGCTTAAAGCCAAAGTTGATGAAGCACAGTATGTAATACATCATAACCTAGAATCAGCGCTTAAAGCCAAAGTTGATGAAGCACAGTATGTAATACATCATAACCTAGAATCAGCGCTTAAAGCCATTTGTTGTTGAAGAGTAGTAAGATTTATAACCTGAGGCAACAAACAAGTAGTCCACACAGCTGAGGGTGAGGGTACGGGGGGGTTAACCTATGTGGGGCAATAGTGAGACCTGACTCACTGAGAGACAGCTGACGTAACACAAGCGGATCACACACCCATAAGAACTTGACCGTGACTCCTAGGAGGGTAAGGTCAGGTCAGGTACGTTGCGATTTCACCTGATGAATCAAAAACCCTAACGCTAACCATACCTATAGTAAACTAGTCTAACCTAACCTAATGTAACACAACCTACCCCCCAAGGTGGCTAACGTGGTACAGTGATGTAGAGTTCACAATGGCCACCTTCACTCAGCGTCATTTCCTCTGAGACGTGTTGACCAGTTATTTTATCGCATTATGAAGTACACGAGGGTACGGGATTTTTGTATGTACCCCCATCTTTCCTAGGACCACCTGAAAATTAGGCACCCTAGTTCATTTCACCTGACCTGATGATTAAATACCCTTACGTTAACCTAACATAATCTAACCAAATTAACCTAACTTACCCTTACCAAACTTAACCTCGCCTAACCTAACCAAATCCTCTCAGGTAAGAACATAAGAATGGAGGAAACTGCAGCGGCCCAATTGGCCCATACTGGGCAGTCCCGTTTACACCCAACCCCTATTGCTCATATAAGCATCCAACCTATGTTTGAAGCTATTCAGCGTATTCGAGTTAATGATGATATTTGGTAACTTGTTCCATTCATCCACTACTCTGTTTCCAAACCAGTGTTTACCTATTTCACGCCTAAATCTAAATTTGTCTAATTTAAAACTATTGTTAAGAGTTCGCTCCTGGTTGGATAGTTTGAGTACCTTTGTAATGTCCCCTTTGTTTAACCCTGACTTCCACTTATACACCTCTATCAGGTCGCCCCTCGCTCGACGTCTCTCGAGGGAGTGCAAATTAAGATGCTTTAACCTGTCTCTATACTCAAGGTTCCTAATGCCCGGGATTAGTCTTGTCATTCTCCTCTGAATTCTTTCCAATGATTCTATATCCATCCTGTAATACGGTGACCAGAACTGAACTGCGTAATCCAGGTGTGGTCTCACAAGCGCAAGATACAGTTTTAGGATGACCTCGCTAGCCTTGTTACGAGCAAAAACACATTGTTTACTTGGCTTAAGGTTCCTACTTATCATTACTCCTAAATCTCTCTCGCAGTCGGATTTGTCTATGGCATCGTTGTTCATCTGGTATCTGGTTTCCCTGTTTACATCTCCTATACTGAGTACTTTACATTTGTCCACGTTGAATTTCATCTGCCATTTTTCAGACCATTCGAAAATTTTTTTTAGATCTTCCTGTAGTTTTGCGGAGTCCTCGTCAGATTTAATAACACGTCCTATTTTAGTGTCATCAGCAAATTTACT